CATCATCTGTCCATCCTGTGACTCAGTAGTGACCCGCAGACAGTGAGCTGGTTAAAGAAAATGTAAATACGGCTACCTACCATTCCAACAACCGCAGCGTCAGGTGCCTTACAGGTGGCCAAGGACACAAGCGTGAGTCACAACCTCTGTGTAAAGACAAACATGTATTTTGGTGGAGAGTCCCCATGGCTTGGACAAGACAGGGTGCCTGTCACCAGGTGGATGGACCCCCCCCCCCTCAGAGGGTTGTGGTTTTAGCCATTAGTTAGTCATACTTACAGCAGGTGGAAAACATAACAGATACATGAAATCACAACCACCACTACACCCTCCCTCCACACACACACACACACACACACACACACACACACAACCATGACACCCAGCAGCGAGAAGATGTCAGCATAACCAAGAGAAGTACAGCCATACCGTGCAACAGCCTAGGCACCTGCACTTCACTCACTGACCAGGAAACCTCAAAACTGTAAGTGCACTGTGGCCATTCTGACGTAGGCTTCCGGTATGACTGTATTTTGTGTCTTGTGCGCTTGGGGGCTGCATGGCAGATGTGTCTTTCCAACGTTCTGGCTGTGGCTTGTCTCTTCCTCGGGACACATACACCTTCATTCAGGCTCCTGGTTCTAGGCACAGCCCAGAGAGCCTGGGACAAAGCCTTTGTGTCAGTGCCTGTTATGTGGCCACATGTTGCTTGGAAGTGTTCTGGTTTGAGGGAACAATGGCCCCACCTTCTGCCCACACAGGGGCCTCCAGAAACCCATTGTCCTTCTAACCCCATCCTACAGATTGTTGTCACCTGGTCCGGGAGACAAGAGGGTCAGAGCCTGAAAAAACAGTAACTATCCTCTGCAGACCTGCCCTGTGCCCTCAGGTCCTCCATGCCTCTCTGAGGTCTGAGTCCTAAGTTTAGAGCTACGCTGTCTGCTCACGTGTGGTCACCAAAGCTTAATTGTCCTCAGACACTGCTGAGGGCAGATGTCTCATTTGTCTCCAAATGTCCCATTGTCTCGTAATTAGAAACACTTGTTTTTCCAGAAGGCAACTAGTACCCTGAACTCACCTTCTTAAGAGAACCCTTCCCACTGCCCACGCATGTGCTCTCAACCTAAACCTAGGCCTCCCCAAGGCTGCCTGGCATCTTTCCAAGTGAATCGGGTCCTAGAATAGAGATGACAGGTGGAGGGAAAAGCCCCTTCTTTATGCCAGGCCATAGGAGAGGGGAAGGGGGGGCAGCCGCATGTGGCCTCGCAGTACCCAGGACAGAGTTCTCATCT